CGATTGTTTGTTTACTCTGGGTTTTATATAACTTGTATCCGTTTAGTACTCATAGAAAGGATTGTAGAGTCATTTTACTTATCTTTTATCATATCAAGAAATATAGGATTTCCTGGAGGAACAAACGAACTTTTCTAAAAGAAATTACAACTTACTTTACATCACTAAAATCTTATGAACTCACCAGCTTAAATGCTGATCTACTCTTTCAAAACAACTTGTATTCTCAGGAGACCAGTAGACAGGTACGCGCGCTGGGATTCAGAAGATGAAGTATAGTAGCTTCATGTCTTGTTTTGTTATTTACTTTTGGATTCAATCATTTGAGAATCACTACTTGTAAACACTTTAATATTAATAAAATGGTTGTTTGTTACTATGATTACTATGATACATGTGTTGTGATACTAAACATGATGTCCTCCGCCCCCGAACGTTTCCGCCGTTCCGGTTTGGGGGTGTGACAAAGGGGCAGTATAATACCCAACCATTCTAGGCAGTATGATTATCTTTGATATCATGTGGTAGTAGTAGGGGTGAAATAGTCCCCGTAACCGGTTGTGATAAACCGGAGGGGTAGGTCGGACACCCCGGTATGTCTGACAGGGGTAGGTTAGTCACCCCGGTATGCCTAGCAGGGTAGGTCGGGCACCCAGATATGTCTGACAGCATGTTTATTGTATGGTATGTGGTATGATGGGGAACTCACTAAGCTTTGTGCTTACGGTTTTCAGTTTTGGTTTCAGGTACCTCTTCGTCGAAGGGGAAGTAGTCAGCATGGTAGCAGCGCATCGCACACACATAATTTTCCGCATTTTTAGATCCATGGGATTTGTACTCTGACATTATTACTACTTTCTGTTATGATTTTTGAGACATGTGATTATGGTTTGATGACTTGAAAGGATGATGATGTTGTTTTTCAGTAAATGGTTTTATAGGTATTATATTTAAAACGAAAATTTTTGGTCTTGAAAATCGGGATGTTACAGTGGTGGAGATTTTTTCACTGCCCTAACTTATTGTGGGTCCGGTTGGTCAAATCTATTTATGGTATTGATGTTGGATGTGGCTCTCTTACTCCTAATAGGTCTTGGTTAGGTCCTTGGAATGGAATTATTGATATGCTGAGTAGGCTACAAGAAAAAAGGTTTTGATCTTCAGTCCATGTGTCCTATTCGGGTGGGAGATGGGAGACACACTTCCTTTTGGCATGATGTTTGGATGAGAGATTCTCCATTTTCAATCATTTTTCACATGATTTTTGCTTTGGATGTTCATAGGCACACTACAGTTAGAGAGAGGCTGGACATTGGTTGGGATGTCGCGTCTCTCAGACGAATTCCTAGAGGTGGTATTGAGAAAACTCAGTGGAATAATTTCTTTTCACTGGTGCAGAGTGTTCAACTAAATTTGGTCCCGGAAAGATTGGGTTGGCTCCTAGATGTGTCAAATACTTTATCGGTCTCTTCTGCTGAAGATTATTTAGATGGTGGCTTATTGTTTTTAGGAGGTACTGAGACTCGGTGGAATAATTAGGTTCCCATCAAACTCAATATTCTTATATGAAGGATTTGGTTATAGAGTATTCCCACTAGAGAGAGTCTTTCACATAGAGGTATTATGACAGACTCAATTTTGTGTCCTACTTGTTCCCTTATGGTTGAGATGGTTGATCATCTTTTTGCCACTTGTCGAGAGTTGATGGACATTTGGTCTCGTATTACTATTTGATAGGATATTCAGGATCCAGACAAGATTTTAGTGCAATCTCTTATTTCTTGGTCAGACTCGACTTCTTTGAGGGGTGGTCAACTGAAGGCGTTTGAAGCTGTGATTTTTACAACTTTTTTGGTATTTGTGGAGTTTTCGTAATTGTACTGTTTTTGGAACGGATCTTCCTATGAAATCCAATATCTTTGATGATATGGCTTAGAGGTCATTTTTCTGGATTTCTAATAGGTGTAGCAAAGCAAAAATAGGTTGAATTTCTTGTTAGATAATCCTTTTTCTATTACTTGTATGTTGTAATGGGTTTTCTCTAAGTCATTTCTCGTTTTTTCTAATAAAATCACCGTCGTTCTAAATAAATAAATATATAAATAAAGGTGGTAAATACGAAAGTAATAAACATTTTTGTGTAATATCTGGATTTTCATATACAAATTTTTCTAAGTAAGTTATGAATTTTAGATGGCCACGACATGGGTGAGGTATCACTACGACGTGACATGACCCGCAGAAAACATGCATCTCAATTAGCCACCACGATATGATAATATATTGGCCACGATGTGGTGACTGCTTTTGAGAAAACCCTAATTTTGGGCTTGAAGCTCTATTTAAGGAAAGTGATGGCTAGGGTTTCCTCCAACCCCAGCCTCCATCACCTCTAAGAGCCTTGAAGAAAACCCTAATCCTTTCTCTCACATATTTGAGCTTATCTTTGGTATTTTGGTGCACTTCGAAGGAAGAATAAGAAGATTTGGTGCAAGGATCAAGCAAGCAACGCCTTCCCATCTTTGATATCACCTTCTAGACCATTTGTATGGTTTCAAGATCTAAGCTTTTTTATTACTTCTTAGTATATCTAGGATTATTTTGCATGTTTGGGTCTTTTGATGTGTTTGAATGACCCAATGTGATAAAGTTTGCAACTTTATGACTCACCAAAGTCGTTTGAGCTTGTTATCTTCTGGATCTAGAAGATGGTTGGGGTTTTGTAGTCATGCCTATGTTAGAGGGCACTTTTTCTCATATTTTGACCTCGTTGAGTCGTGAACATGCATGGGGCATGCATGTCCACAAAGTTTGGATTTTTTATGGACCATTAGGATCCCTAGAAGCCTTCTAGACAACTTGTGCAAAATGGGCTTAACCGATTAAGAAATTTAGCAAGGAATCTGTTTTCAGCCAGTAACCACGACGTGGCATGAAGCGTGCCACAACGTGGTCATGAGGGGCTTATCGACTGTTTCTGACTGACTCTCCCACGATGTGGAAATGGAAATGTACTCGTCCGAGTTCACTGTCCACGATGTGACTTGGGTAGGCCACGACGCGGAGATTAACTGACCATTGACTTTTGGTTAAATTGCTAGTTTTGGAATGTGGTCTAAGGTTTGACCTTGGGTGTTTCGATAGGTGGGATGTAGCACTTGTTTCTGGACTTTTTGAGCTGTGTTTGTTTGACTACAAGTGTGAGGTGAGTCTTCTCACTATAGTATGTAGTATGCTAGTTGTCTTTGTGATACTTGCATGAAAGACCATGGGGTAGCCCATGCCAATTGTATGAAAGACCATGGGGGTATCCCATGACACCTGTGTGAAAGTCCATGGGGGGTAACCCATGACACTTGTATGTAAGACAGGGATTTGGTCATCGACATTATAAAGAAAGACCATGGGGGTAACCCATGACACTTGGATGTCAGACCATGTGGGTAGCCCATGACATTTCAGGGAAAGACCATGTGGGTAGCCCATGACAAACAAATTGATGATATGTGGTATTTTGGAGAACTCACTAAACTTGGTGCTTACGGTTTATGTTTCAAATGTTTCAGGTACTTTTGGTTCCAATGGGAAGGGTTCAACATGATTACATCGCATCAACTGAAGATTTCACACTTATTATTTTGTCATTACTCTAATGTTCTTTTGATACACTTTTTGATACTTTGGCTATCTTTTGGAAGTTATGAATGAATGATTTGGGTGTTTTAAAAACAAAATTTTACTTAGTGTTTTTGGGTTGTTACATTTTGTTAAAAAATTACGATAATGATCTTGATTTCGTTTGGAATTGAGTTTTTTAAAAATATTGATTATAGAGTAAAATAGATGAATTTATTTCTAAAAATGTTAGAAGACTCGCATACGGTACCTACATATAAATTTAAAAAATATTTGTTATTAATCTTGAAGTTTTGAATTTAACCGTAGATAACGTAGCTTAATAAATTTTTATAATGAAGTATTTTATGGATCTTGATTTGATTTTCATATAAGTTTTTTTGAACTGTCATAGCTGGACCTGAAAAAAAATATATATTCAAATAGTCGTAATAATTTTTCAATAAACTTTTTCTCTAATAATTTAAAGGGATTTTCTAATATGTGCCCTAAGGGCACATATGAGAATTATTAATTAATCACAATTATTATCATAATTAAATGTTAAATACATTAATTATAAGAAATATTACCATAATTAAATATAAAATTCATTAATAATCTCCATAATTAATGGATTTTACATTTAATTATGATAATATTTTTCATAATTAATATTTCTTATATGTGCCCTTAGGGCACATATTAGAAAATCCCTAATTTAAAATTTGAATAATTATCCACAGATAAAAGATTGGACCATTATCCACAAATAATTTAAATTTGATAAAACATTATTATTAATTTGTATATATATCTATACAAGTACAAAGATTCGTATATTTAATACCGTGAGTCCTACAAATCAGTAAATGGGTCTAACAAATATATATACAGTCACTCATAAATCATAATATTATCTTCTCCGCTTCAATACTTCTGATTTTTCTTTTAGGTTAAAATCAAGAACAATAAAAACAAAGATCACACCGACAATAATAAAATTGCAATGGCTTTTCACATTGTTGACTGTGGGTCATCTAATCTAGACAAAATTGCAAAAATGGTCCCTGTGGTATGTATTTTTTTGGAGTTTTAGTCCAAACCTCGACTTTTTTGGATCGGTGGTCCTTATGAGCTGGTTTGCTTGTAGTTTTGGTCCCTCGGAAAACTGAAAAGACTAAAATACCCTTGAGGTATTTCGTTTTCATTTTTCTTTCATTTTTTTTTATCTATTTTTATAATTAAAAAATTAAGAAAATTTTCTCTCTCTCTCTCTCTCTCTCTCTCTCTCTCTCTCTCAAATAAACCACTGAAGACTCAATTTTGTCGATGATCTCCACCCTCGAATAACCCATCATCATCGACGATTCTTCCTTTTAGCTATGACGTATCAATCCAGCCAAAAAGACATCACAGATGATTTTAAAATGCAAAGAATCGGGAACTTTCTCATTCATGCTTCGAGAAGTGATAGGGTTGGGCTTAATTTGATGTTGAGGGAGGGCATTTCGCCTAATGTGCAGGATTATGATAACATAACTGCTCTTCATCTAGCTGCCAGTGAAGGTCATGATTCGATTGTAGAGCTTCTTCTACACTATAAGGTCGATGTTAATCTCGATGATAGATGACACAAAACTGTAAGAATTGGGTTTTCGTTGTTAACTTTTTTAGGGTTTCGAAATTGGATTGTCGATTGGAATTGGATGATAAGATCTAACAACAATTAATGTCGTACAACAATTAATGTCTTACAACAGGGGAAGGAGACGAACGGGATGACGGCAGTGGGGAACCGGGAAAACATCACCGGTGATTCTAGTTCTTCGACAGGGGAAGGAGACGAACGAGATGACAGTCGTTGAGAGGGCTGTGAAGGGGTATCGGGACAGTACAACAACAATTATGGGGGTGTTTGACAGCGGGTGCTCGGTGGAAATAGACGGAGAAGGTTGGGACTGCCTCATTTGAGTTTGTGGACTGTCTCATTTGAGGTTGCATTCTTCTTGTTCTTCCATATGATGAAGATAACTAAGAGGATGAAGATGAAGATGGCTACTGGAAGAAGGGCTAGAAGTAGGTGGTATGCGATACTTTCACCATGCCTCATGTTAGAGACTAAATTAATTAAGAAGCGTTCTAAACTCTTTGTGGTGGATACAGATGAAATATTTTTGTTGAATTTTCTTTTGGTTTGACGAGGGAGAGGTAGAAGATATATATATATATATATATATATATATATATGTGGGCCTCAACTAATTATTTATTTTCTTTTTCATTTAAATTAAATAGAAAAAACATTAAATATATATCAGAAGGGCATTATAATCATTTCAATTTTACGAGGGACCAAATTTACGTACAAACATGGCCAAAAGGACCACGAATCCAAAAAAGTCGGAATTTAGATTAAAACCCCAAAAAAATGCATACCGCGAGAACATTTTTGCAATTTTGTCTCTAATCTATTTAACTCTAATTCCACGGCTTCCATTGGTCCGTACGCACCAACCAAACTCCTTGATCAACTCCTTACTGACACCACCCTCCTCCCCATCTTTCTTTAAGTACACCTTTTGCTTCTCCTTCAATCCACCTTTTCATTCCAAATAAGCAACCTCGATCCATCTATCCTTTAAACTACTGCTTCACTCAAACTCCAATTTGCTCGATTCGATGTTTTTTCTCAAGTTCTTCGGTTGCTTTGCAATCTCCGATAAAGTGGCCGACTGTGCTAGCGAAGATGGTGGTGGATGCTGTACTAGCACCACCGCTGTCAACACCAAAGATACTTGTCTTGTAACTTGTGTGAAGAAGTTTTCATGGGAGGAGATAAGGAAACGGAGCAGGAATTTCTCAAAGGTCATCGGCTCCGGAGGGTTTAGCACCGTGTATCTAGCTAGACTACCGGACTCCGGCTTAACTGCTGTCAAGATCCAATCGGCTTGCACCGAGAGGCTAGCCGGGATTCACGACCAAGAGCTTCGAATCTTGCTCCGACTAAAACACCAGAACATCGTGAAGCTTCTTGGACACTGTGACGATAGAGAAGAAGAGCGTGTTCTGTTGTTTGAGTATGCATCGAATGGTACATTACATGATAAACTTCACGTAAGCAGCAGCGTAACGCTGACATGGAAAGTCAGAAAGTTGATCGCTTTACAGCTTGCTGAAGCTTTAGAATATCTACATGGGATGCATATTATCCATGGAGATATCAAGGCTTCTAATATACTTTTAGATGAACAACTAAACTGCAAACTTTGCGATTTTGGGTCAGCTAAACTAGGGTTTACTTCCATGGTTTTACCTCCATCATCGACGAAAATGAAGAGAATAATAATGGGGTCGCAAGGTTACATGGATCCACATTATCTTAAAACGGGATTAGTTTCAAAGAAGAACGATGTTTACAGCTACGGAGTTGTACTCCTTGAACTTGTTACGGGGACAGAAGCATTTAATTTGGAAAAGGGTGAGAAATTAACGGATGTTATTGGTCCGGTGGTGTGTGGGGTGCTGGGAGTGGAGGAGGCGGTGGATCCACGGCTGAGATACGATGAGAGCTTGGATTTGGAAGAGTTGAGGGCTATGGTTACATTGGCTGAGATGTGTATTGGGAGTTCACCCATGGTTAGACCTTCTGCAAGTGAGATTGTAGTATCCATGAAGAACAATTTTTAATCCATGACTCATTAATTTGTCGAGGATACGACGCTTTCTCATGTAAATTGATTTTTATTTTTCTCCTTCTTGGATAAAAATGATGTTATTGGTTTAATCGAGGTTAGGGCCATACATAAATGTTTTATCAAATTTGCAACTAGGAATTCTCATTTTTGTTGGTTCACTATGTTGTTGAAATGGAAAATTACAAATAATGTATAAGGTAGTAGATATTTGATTGTTTATTGTTATAAAATGGGATAATGAATTAAAAATTTAATATATTTTTTGATTTGTATATATTTGGTAACCGATTTTTTTTTGTCTATATTTATCCCTTCAACTTGTTTAACTATACGAATTTAGTCCTTATGACCGGCTACTGAAGGTAAGCCGGAAAAAATGACTTAAAAAAATAATATATTTCTTATTTTGTATACATTTAGTTCTTAATATTTTTTTTGCACATTTAGTTATTAATATTTTTTTGTTGCAAAATAAGTTCTTTTTATTTTTATACACATTCAGTACTTATGACCGTTTTTTTTAGGTTTTTCTTACAACATTTTACACGGGATAATAATTAATAAGGTGTTTGGGGATGTCATTGTAACATCCCAAAAATACAGCCCAAAAATTTCATTTTAAATCATTAATAAAATCATAGTTATCCAAACATCATATAAAAATCATAAGTCGTGTATCTCAAAATATAATAACATCTGTCAATATATATCAGAGTATAAACATCCCAGGCTAAACAAATGGTGTGTGCACTGCAATCATCCCGAGCTCTTCCCCTTGCTACCGGAAGTACTTGAAACCAAAACTGAAAACTGTAAGCACGAAGCTTAGTGAGTCTCCCCAAACTACCACATACCATACACATAACATGCAACTAGGAGATACGGGACCCGCCCACACTCAACTACTATGAGATACGGTCCCCGTCCACACTCGGCTACTATGAGATACGGGCCCCGCCCACACTCAGCTACTATGAGATACGGGCCCCGCCCACACTCAGCTACTATGAGATACGGGCTCCGCCCACACTCAACTACTATGAGATACAAGCCCCGTCCACACTCAGCTACTATGAGATAAGGGCCCCGCCCACACTCAGCTAGTCATTAAAATACATACAGGTATCACACAGACAACAAGTATAACTAGACATATAAATTTGTACCATATCAGCTATCTATGAGATACAGGCCCCACCCACACTCAGCTACTAATCAGATCACATATACGGGCCAACCTTGGTGCCATAGACCCGTTCCTACTGAAGGAAACTCACCTCAATGTTGTGAATAGTTGAAAGTCCCTGCTTCGCAACCGACTCTACTCACACCCTATACAGACCAACCTCTTAGATATCATTTCATACTTAAAACCCTTTCACGGGTCAACCTTGGTCAAAGTCAAAGTCAACATCCCGGGTTGACTCAACTCGCCCAGTTGGTCCATCAACTCGTCGAGTTCCATGAATCATAAACCCTGAAATCGCGATCCAACTCGTCGAGTTCTTTCACAACTCGTCGAGTTCCTCCTATCTACATAATCGAGACTTCTCCATTCAACTCGTCGAGTCATCCTTGAACTCGTCGAGTTTTGCCTTTAACAGAATCGAGACATTTCATCCCAACTCGTCGAGTTCCTCTATGGACTCGACGAGTTCTTCAGTCTGTTAAGCCATCTTAATAGATTAAGCCCATAATCTTCTGATCTAAGCCCTAAACTCCACCTATACACTGAAATTGTCCTTTTAAGGGTAAAGTTTCCAACTTTACCCGTTAATACACTTACTTTGAAGAATCTAGCTAAAACCCTTATTCTTTAGGACCTAGATCTTGGTCCACAAGCCATCACTACTCCAGACTAAGGCACATACACTGAGATCTGGACCCTAGATACTACATGAACACGTAAAGCTTACACCTTCTTCTCCATGCATGGCCTTTTGGAGCTTAAAAGGCCAAAATGACATCCTATAGCTTGCATGGGGCTTCAATGGCCATAAAGTTTTCACCTTTATGCCATGAAAGCCCTCCATGCTTCCAAATCTGATGATATATTCACTTGGGATGTCCATTTCCCAAAGGTCATGCTTCTTGGACCAAAAACCCAATAATATGATAATAAGAAGATCTAAGAAGTTACTAAGCAAGTTTGAGACTTGCTTACCAGAAAATGATGAGAATGAAATGGAGTCTCTGGATCTACTAGCTTCTTCTTGAATCCTCAAGCTTCTTCTTCTTCCACAAGCTTCAAACACACAAAACTCTCTTAAGAATGGCTCAAAAACTCACACAAAGCATTAGGGTTTCCAGATTTAGGGTTTAGGACTTGGAGGCTGTAAATGAGGCTGGCATGAGGGGATTAAGATGCTTAAATAGGGTGCAAAACCCCTAAATTAGGGTTTCATTATGCCAGTCCTACTCGTCGAGTTGAGGCTTCCAACTCGTCGAGTAGACTTCAAAACCCGCATCCAAATTCATTCCCTACTCGACGAGTTTGGGGCCTCCAACTCGTCGAGTTTCTACATAAAGATGAATAAAATTATAATTTAAATACAAGCCCTATCATTCTTTAAATATGACTCAAGATCCGAGGTTTAGGGTTTTGAGCCCATAACGACGCCACACCGTGGTCATAATGGACACCACGTCATGGTGATGAGGCATTACCACACCGTGGTAAGCCAATCACCATGCCGCAGACCGGCTAAAACACCAAACCCAACTCTTTAACATACAAAACATAAATTCATACCAGGATTGAGTGTTACATGTAAGGTGAAGATAAAGGGTTTATTATGAAAAATGAGATCATAAAGTGGTTTTATGGTACATAATCATATAATAAAATGTTTTTATTATACAAAATCAGAGTATAAAATGGTTTTATTATATAAAATAATAATATAAAAGTTTTTTTTGCTCATTGAGAGATAATAGGTTTAATTTTTCTATAACCATAAATGCTAAGTAACCGGTTGTCAAGCGTTTGCCGATTACAATGTCTTAGACCAGACAATTTTAGAAAATATAAAAGTTTTAACGTATCAAAAATAATATAGTGGTTTTTTAAAGGTTTAATTAAAATAAGTTGTGTTTTTTCAAAGGTTGTCAAGATCGGGATCCTAGATAGGATCGTTTTTGGGTTTGCAAGAACAAGATCGGGATCCTAA